CTGTGATACTGTGGTCACTCTCCATGTAGCATCAATTATGCTAATGCTAGCTGTCTGTCAAGTTCTCTTGTCCTGGCCACACCTCCGCTCTCTAACCCCCCTTCMYCTAYCCACACCCCCTCCCCTACCCACTTTGATGCATTTTTCAAATTTCGCCTTGGGGCGGAGTTATCTTTTCACAGGGGGGTAAGATACACTTTAAAACTGCATTAGTTTGAGATGTGCAGCCAATGATTGTTTTATAGCTTGAATGTTTAAAACCTTTAATATTCAGATGAATGAAGACTGGTAGAAACATAGTGTCTCTCAACCCCTGGATGTTTTTATGCTTTTATTGCTGCCATAAATCAATCATGGTTAAATTAAACTGGTTTTATTGATCAAAAACAGTGAAATAAGATTATTAGATTGCTACAGAATAGTACCAAATACATAGAATACATCATGTAAATTACATGATTGCATACATATCCACTCCCTTTAAAATTACTAATCTTATTCTACTCAAGGATTATTAAAAAGTACAAGTTAGGATGATTTCCAAGGTCCTCTTACTAAACTAAACTCTAAATACAGTTAATAATGACCATGATTGATTCATGACAGTAATAAAAGTATAAACCATCCAAGAGGGTGAATATGTTTTACAGCACTGACTTCTGTTTGCTAAATAAAAACAGCCACAGTAAAAGTAGCTGACACACATTCTGGAAAAATGTGATGGTGCTCCACACAAATATGTTTCATCTCAACTTATCAAGTTAAAATAAGTTGAGTTAAAACATCAACAAGAACTGAGGAATGAGAAACTTTGTTACAGCGCTTTAAATATTTTAAAAACATGAAATGAACAAGAGTYAGTCTTTGACTTTCAGGAAGTAATCAGTCAGTGTGATCTTTACCTGATCAGACCTACAGCTCACTGCAGCTTTCAGCTGCCCTGACCTTCAGCACAACCACATCACTAACAGATCTTTGTTAGTAAAATATCTCAGGACCCACTGAATGAATCTCATTAAGTAACCTTTGTACACCTGCAGCTGATTACTTTCTGGAGTCAATAGCTGGTTTCAGTCACGTGGTTTCGAAGGCGGAGCGATCTCCGCTGGAGGGCAGGGGGTAAAATATATGGAGGAAACTACTGGAGAGTCTATAATGTATGGATTTAGGTCCTATTTCAAGATATATAACAACAATTTGTTCACAAATATGTCAGACATGACTCGTATGATGAAGATGAAAGAGTTTTCGACAGAACCTAAAGATTTGCTGAGGCTGTCGGTACGTCTTACATCACCAGGTGCCAAATAATAACCAGCAAAAGTTTATCTGATGAATAATTCCACATGATTCTGCCCAACCCTATGAAACACTTTAGATCGTCATRCACAAAGAATAAAAATGTAAAAAGCTCACAGAATAACGACATAAAAAGTGGGTTTTAAAGCATCTGCGGTGGAGGAGCAGAATGCCGGTGCCTGCAGCATCACTTCATTCAGAGGTATGTTAGCTGCTAACTTGTTTTACAGGTTATGTTTATAATGATCGTTTATTTAGTAGTGAGTATTAAGTTACTGGTAGTTTAATGTGGACCTCATCTGGACTTTAGGAAGTAGTGGAAGTTTGTTGACGTACGCGGCTACTGTTAGCATGATCTTAACATACAAAACTATATCAGAACAAACACTCACCCTGGCAAAAACAAACGATAATCATCGTGGAGTTGTTTGGTACCGAGTTTGTGGATCCACCCGCTGAATAAAAAGTTTCAAACCTCTGGTTGTTTACATGCTTTCATCAGCTGTTCGGTGTAGTTAGCAGACCGGTAACGGGACCGTAGAGTCCGCTCGGTGCTCGATCATCTTCTCTTCCCTCTTATAATTGAAATAGTGAATCACCTACTTCCTCATCAAAGTCCTCACTCTGTCTCCGACTGGTTTTCCTCCATTTGAGCTCCTCTCTCAAACTGCGGCTCGGTCCGAATCAGTCCACCTGTCCACAGCTGGACTGGAGCTCCACCTTCATCGCCCCTTTTTTTATTTTATCAAAGACACTAAAATAACTAAACTTCACTGTAACAATGAAATATAGTTATACAAATATAATAAATGTAATAAATTTCAGATATCTCATTGCTGACTTCCGATCTCGCTGTCTCTCCATCACAGCCAAACTTTATTCAACTTCCGCCTCTTTTTATTTTTATCCTCCTGTAGATTTTTTGCCGCTTGTCTAATATTTTCAGGCTTCAGTCAGAAAGGAGTTTGGGGGTTTAGGTTTGTTCGGCTGGGTGGGGGTGACACCAGAGGGTGGAATGAGGTGTTTTCCCCCCATGAATCAGCCCTATTTTACATCCTCCTGCTGCAACGTGCTTCAAATATGACAAACATTAATAAAAAATTAATCAGTGTATAATTATTTATTATTAATTCAGTTAGATTGAGTGGAGCACTCAAACTACACAAGATTTGGGCATTTTTTCAGATGGCAGATCCTCCACTTTTTCACTTCCTGACCTCCAGCTGAACTTCGCGCTCTAGTGGCGCTGCATCGTGACGTCACSTGAAACCCTCCTATTCAATCCAAGATGGCCACAATTAATGAACATGAGCCAAAATAACAATTGCTGTAAGTCAGTCAGTTTGACAGATACTGAGCTCAGGTTGGTGTGGTAGTAGCTGAGAGTTATTCACAACAGATGCTCTGAATGACGGTTCATCATGTCTCACACACCAAACARCTACAACTCCATTATTTCTCATCTTAAGCTGATTTGAGTCTGACACGTATGCATTCCCTCCAAAACACTAGTCCTTTAGTTACATTACAGGGAGGAGGCGGGGCCAAATTTGAAACATTGCACTCACACAGGCTGTGATCAGCAGTGGGTACGAGTGGGAACCTTCAAGTATTTTCATTGAACCAAATGGGTCACACTGTAAACTATRGGTCAGGTTCTGACATGTAAACGCCTGGAGCTGGTTCTGGTCATGATGTTAACAAGGCGCTGTGGAACATGCTATATTCATTTATTCACTTTTCAAACACATCAAGTCTGCTCAGCCTTCAGTGGAACAAAGCAGCTTCCTTCAGCGTGCGCTGCCTGCAGAGCTGCAGTTTGTGGGTCACAGGTGGGACGACGTGGAGAAGCAGAGTTTCAGGGTGAAGGGGTTGGAGCTGCCTGCACGTCAAACACACGGAGAACAGGTTCACAAACGGACTSATGACATCATGTTTCAGTCTTTAAGCACATGAGCACACAGTAAACAGTTTGTTAGGGGTGCAACAAGACATGTACCCGTATCGAACAGTGCTTTAGGTTCAACACACACTTGTATGGAACAATACAGGTTTTTAAATTTATTTTATCAACTTGTCTTCTGAAGATGCTCTGTGTTGAAGGATCAGTGGATCTGTGTTCGACTACTCCACCTAGAC